CTTTTGAAATCAGGACTCTGAATCATATTGTTATTATAACCTGCATAAAGTATAGCCCCATATGGTCCAACACCAATACCACTAACGGAATCAGGAATGTATTCCACACCGTTATCTTTTCCATATTCCCTTACTCGCAGCTTTACTTTTTCAATCTCCACGTGAAGCATGCTCCTTCCTCCGTTTATTTTTGTCCATGAGATAAACAAACACTTGCTTATCATTCGATATGTAAATCGGCTCACTATTTCCTTTTATAGTCCATGAGATAAACAAACACTTGCTTATCATTCGATATGTAAACGGAGGAAGGAGCATGCTTCACGTGGAGATTGAAAAAGTAAAGCTGCGAGTAAGGGAATATGGAAAAGATAACGGTGTGGAATACATTCCTGATTCCGTTAGTGGTATTGGTGTTGGACCATATGGGGCTGTACTTTATGCAGGTTATAATAACAATATGATTCAGAGTCCTGATTTCAAAACTAAAGCTGCGAGTAATATGATACAATTTATAGATGATTCGGATAATGAAGATACTATTGTTGTAGGAGAAGATGCAATTGTTTTGAAAGAAAAATCTGCAATTGATATAGCCTGTGGAACCAACAAAGTCGACTTTGTTGATTGTGATGGTGCTGGAGATGCGCATGAGTTACGGTTAACAAAAACTCGTTAAATATGTTATAATGACCCCTATACACCACACTGAACCATCAAAACTTAATTTACACCAACGATTTGTTTTCACAAACCGTCAACCCGTCAAACTCGTCACACCGTCAGTACCCGTCAAACTCGTCACACCTTATCGATTTTCGCGAATTTGCCTACTGCAAACCGTAAACTTATCAATTATCATCCCATTCATCAAGTATCTTATGATGAATCTAAATCTAGCTCTCAAATTTTAAGACCTTTTTGTTTCTCACAATGCATGTTCTCCCAAAGAAACCATAAAGTTCTAATAGTGTTCTCCTAACACATTGGCTTAGGGTAGGAAATAGTTTTTTACCGCATGAGTTATGGTTAACAAAAACTCGTTAAATATGTTATAATGACCCCTATACACCACACTGAACCATCAAAACTTAATTTACACCAACGATTTATTTTCACAAACCGTCAACCCGTCAAACTCGTCACACCGTCAGTACCCGCCAAACTCGTCACACCTTATCGATTTTCGCGAATTTGCCTACTGCAAACCGTAAACTTATCAATTATCATCCCATTCATCAAGTATCTTATACTGAATCTAAATCTAGCTCTCAAATTTTAAGACCTTTTTGTTTCTCACAATGCATGTTCTCCCAAAGAAACCCTAAAGTTCTAATAGTGTTCTCCTAACACATTGGCTTAGGGTAGGAAATAGTTTTTTACCGCATGAGTTACGGTTAACAAAAACTCGTTAAATATGTTATAATGACCCCTATACACCACACTGAACCATCAAAACTTAATTTACACCAACGATTTATTTTCACAAACCGTCAACCCGTCAAACTCGTCACACCGTCAGTCCCGTCAAACTCGTCACACCTTATCGATTTTCGCGAATTTGCCTACTGCAAAC